ATGCAGGAAAGATTTCATAAGATGAGTCCACATGACTTTGAGAGGATGCTTATTAAATCTGGGGACAGTGAAACAAAGAAAAGGCTTAAGACAGAAGAAGCAAAAGGGGGGACCTTAGTGGAGCTGCTTTGGCTCACTGAGAAGTAAAAGTCAGTGAAAAAAGTGAGCCAAGGCAGGGCTGCTGTCACCTCATCGGAAAGTCAGAGAAAAGGGGGGACTTGAAGACAAGTTCAGGGGGTGAGCCTGGATGAGCTGCTCCCCTGGTTGCAAGTCTCAGGGGGCCCCTTCGAGTTCGGGAGAAAGAGCAGAGATACAAGGTGGATGTATCACTAGTGAGAGCTACACCGTCATTCTTGGTCTTGAGGCCTGTGGGAATCCTAGGGGAGGTGGCAGGGAGGTTTTAGCAGAATATTCATTCGCTTTTCAGGTGTGTCATTTCATATGCTGATTCATTATAATGTGTGTATAGAGGGATCAGGGTTATTTTATGATTAGTTTTTAAAGAAGGATACTGAAGAGGGACCTAACTAAGGTTGGTCTGCCCTGAGAGAGTCTGGAATATGTAAACCATTTGCTCCTTATGTCCTTGGAAGATAAAACCTTGTGATTCATTAGCAGGCTGTAAATTGCTCAAATTGTTTGGCTTTGTTTAATTATTTTGTCTCAGTTTCTCTTATTCCAATGTCAAGAAATTTTCCTAGCTTCTTACTATCCTGCCTCAGTTTGACGTTAAGTTTGTGTCACTAAGTTGGAGTTTTTCCACCAGCCCTGGAGGGATAAGAACAGAAACCCAATTCTTTCTTGGGTTTAAAAAAATATATATTTTATTGATTTTTTACAGAGAGGAAGGGAGAGGGAGGGATAGAGAGTTAGAAACATTGATGAGAGAGAAACATCAATCAGCTGCCTCTTGCACACCCCCTACTGGGGATGTGCCCGCAACCAAGGTACATGCCCTTGACCAAAATCGAACCTGGGACCCTTCAGTCTGCAGACCGACACTCTATCCACTGAGCCAAAC